ACAGAGATTTTTCACGGGATGACCAAAATGAATTGACGGTGGATAATCTTAGGAAGCACTTTTACTAATTTTAAATCTTAAGAGGGACCAAAGTGAGGAATTATGTAAATCTCAAGAACCATTTTGGTTAAAAAGCTTATTTTATTTTAACAAAAGTGGCCTACGATGCATGCCCTCGCATCGTGGCATGCCAAAACATCGTTGTTGGCCTCGACATGACAAGTTTCGCAAATTGTTGGCAGAATGCATGTCATGACACGCCATGCATTATGTCGACAATTCGCAATGCTTGTTATGGTGTGCCACAATATGAGGGTTAGCGTGTCAAGACAAGTCATGGCTTGTCAAGACATGTGATGCCCTGCATTATGGCAACAACTCGCAAGGCTTGTTATGACATGCATTTTTCTAACACTTTGCGTACTATTTCGAAATAATTTTAAAAAATGATAGGAAAAAGTAGACCTTGGGGTCTAAAATTATTTTTTTAGAAATTAGTACAAAACAAAACGCTATCATATATGAACATACCAGTAAGAACATGTTCATTAGTAAAGCTGAAAATTTATATGTGTTTTTACCGATAAGAACATGTTCATTAGTGAAGCTGCAAATTACAAGTTTTCTTACCAGTAATAACCTTTGTAAATTTTTAGCTCAAGAATGTATTCTTACTGGTAAGAACGCTTCATATATAATTGTCTACTATATTGTAGTAATTTTCAAAAGAAAAATTTAAGGCTCCAGAGTCTACTCAGAGTTTTTCATAACATACTCTATGCCAATCTAATCGTCCAACATTGCAACCCATACATTAGTGCATATGAAGTTTTGTATTATCAGTAGAAGTCTGGAAAGGTACCTAGATTGGTCGGTACTCATTGGGGCAAATCGTGTAGTGTATTTGACATTAGCAGTGTGACTCTGTATGATTGTTGGGTGATCAACTAAGCTTCTTGGTTATTGCTGAACATCAGCACATGCAGTTTGGTGCGTCCTTGTTAAGTCTGCAGAGGCTCACACCCTCACAGCCGTAGGTAGTGCCAATACATTCAGCTTTTAGCTAATGGCTACGAGGATTGAGGTCTATGGGTGCATATTGGGTTAGGTGGGATATTTATATGAGTTGAATTGAACTTGAAGTAGAGAAAGAACGAAGCAAACATTTTGTCTACATGTTCAAAAACTATTTTTTGTATACCCTAATTTAGCAGATTATGAAGCGTGCTTGTTCGATCGGTGGAGGAATTTTTATTGTATTTATATCTTTGGCAACGTGGTATTTTCATTCCACTCAAATTATAATATGTAACATTTAATATCACGTGACCGTATTATCTACACAAACAAAAATTTATCCATTTTGTATCATGGGAATTGCTAAATGCTCAAAAGTTAGGTTAGTGGGCTAGACAATTTTTTTTTTTAATTTTATTTTTTAGATTAAACTATATATAATAGAGGATGGATTTGTGGCACCATTTTTTTTCACAACTTTTGACACATGTTTTTATGGGACCCACTTCGTAATGTATTTCCATGATACGAACTGACTATTTTAAAGGTATTTTCTCAAAGATCATGTCTACCCACTAAAATCTAAAACCATATGACCATTGGGTTATATAATCGTATTTGTTCGTTTTTTTCACTATAAATGAATGTCTTTATGATTTCAGATTTGTCTAATTTTTTGTAGAATGATCTGTAAATAATGCTCTAAAATGCAAACGATATGAATCGTTAAAATATATTACGAAGTAAATTCTATAAAAACATGTACAAAAAATTGTGTAATAAAATGACGTTACCAATCAGCGTCTATATAATATCATGAAATGACAATTTAATTAAATGGTAAACAATTCAAATTCCAGCTCCTAAAAGCAATAGACAAAATGTCTTCCTTTTGACCTTTTTACTCACATTTGAATTCGTCACCCTCAATTTGTGAACTCATAATTTTTCTTCTCTTACCAAATAATTTTATTAATTTTGAGTCAGACTAATTGGGTTGCGGCAGGGATGTTAGGCAATAGTTGTTGGTTTATTTGACCAGAAAAAAAAAATTAAAAAAGACATTAATAATTTTACTGGGCCATTCCAAGTTACAGCAGACACTAATCAGTTCATCTTTATTAAATAAAAGGGCCAATTACATTTTATCCTCCTAAGTTTGGATACAGTTGCAATTTCATACAATATCTTTAATATTTTAATTTCATACATTTACTTTTATTTCTCTACAATTTAATACTTTCGTTAGTTAAACTGTCAATTTGACTGTTAAGTAATGATGCGATAAACGTGGATCACACATTCCATTCCGCGCAAGGCCGCCACCACTGCAAACCCCACGCGCCGACACTCTCTGCCTGCAACCCAACAAACCAGGCGCACTGCAAACCACCACCTAAAACTGCGAGCCCAATTCCCACAATTTTTGTTTTTGGTTTGGTAGGTCTCCCTCTATCTCTTTTGGCTTTCCTATTTTGTATCTTCTTGGCAGAGCCGATCTGAGGGTGTGCAACAGGTGCCACAGTAAGGAACCCCCGATTCGGAAGAGCCCATAAATTTTCATTACATGTATACAAATACATATAAAATAATTAGATGCAAAAAACAATCTTATTTGTGGTTCTAGCACAAGCGGTTTAACTCTTCTTTCTTATAGCCCATGTACTGGGTTTGAATCCCAGTGATATTATTTTGTTATATTTTAAGCTTTTGCAAATGTGTAAATAGAAGATAACAAAAAGGCATTCAACGTGTATCAAACTCAGGACTTTTGAAGGTAAGGAAAAACACAAACAACTTATTTTTGTTGCAATAACTTATAATATTTTAGTTTTATAGATGAAAAAATTAAAAATAAATAATAATAAATAAATATAACATTAAAAAAAATGAAGGGCCTTCATCTAAGTTTTGCACAAGGCCCCTCAATACTCAGGGCCAACCCTGCTTATTGGAGCGGCGTCGATCAGAATCCGATTTCGCAGTAAAAAATTGTTGAAGCGAGAGCACGCCAAGACTTAGGCCATCAACTCAGAGTTAATGGAGAGCCTTACTTTCCAAAAAGTTTCTTTAACATTTCTCATAACTTATACAGTAATATTATTCATACCATGTTTTTATACTATATTTATATATCACCTTAGGTGGCATCTGATGTTGACACCCACATTATTTGAAAAATTTGCAAAACCCAAGGAAATGAAGGAGCAAGACTCATCGTATATTACAATCATAATTTAACTAACTAGTTTTTCTTAATTATTAGTTTATTAAATAATGAACTAAATTTAAAATTTTGATTAATTCAAATGATGTGGCTGTTCACATCAAATACCACCTAAGGTGATATAAAATGTGGTACAAAAACATATGAATAACATTAATTATATTTGGTTTTTCAAATTTTAAAAATTGTCAGAAATGTACTGCTACTGTGATCTCTCCCCCATAAGGTTGGATCAGACACCATGACGGCACACCTTTTATCCACTAGAGAGGAGTAGCCCATTGACCCATCTCTCCATCCAAAGGCTCAAACCCCAACATCACGAACAATCAGATAGTCCCTACCGCACCGGATAGCAGCCCTCTTGGAGGCAGATTGTCTGCCCTACTTTTGTCATACATTTCGCATCATCTCCTGTGTTGTGCGGTCACGGTTAAATCACGTCAATATTTTATATTAATTTTTTTATAGATATAATAAAATAAAATACAATAAGAATATAAAATATTCACGTGATTTAATTGTAACAGCACAAATAAAAATGAATGAGAAAGATATGATATTGGGAAGGCAGGCAATCTGCCTCCAGTCCAGCTCTCTTCCCTACTCAAAGTCTCTGCGTAACTAATTATAATACATGTGTTAAGAATCGTGTGGATGCACATCCATCGGGAAGGTGGGTCCCACTTTCCCGACCGTGATTATGATTATTATTAGTACATTGGTTAATTTTGACGTCCGTCCAAGTACCGTTTTTCAATGCAGTCGGAATTCGATGAAGTATTATTATTATTTTATTTAAATTATAATATATTTATTGACAAGAATATATAATAATATATTGTATTTACATATTTTTAATTAATTTTTAAAAAAGTTAGGCATGTAAAAAATTATATATTATATGAATATTAGTGTGTATATATTTGACTGAGAATAGTTATTGGTATTTCAAAAATCTCATTCTACACTCTTGATAAGTGTATTTTTTTTCTTCCAAATATAGAAAGTTTAGAATGTAAAATGAGATTTTTGAAGTGTCAATAACAATTCCATATTTGACCATAAAAAATTATCATATATGAATTTAAATTTATCAAGTTCACTCTCAAAGGAGGCCAGGGCAGAGCTCAAAATTTTCCTTAGTTAAAGGGCATTAATCTCCACTTATATTTGAGAGACAAAAAAAAAGTTATGATTAGAATTTCTTCTATAGTTTCATGGTTTTTTTTTTTTTACTCAAATTTGTTAAGCCAATTTCTACATATTTTTTCTTGATAAAAGCTTATTATATTATTTAAAATTTTCAACTAATCAATTAAAGTACTGTAAGCATCGTGAATTTTTTCTCTAAACAGAATTTCAGTCAGAGCAACAGCTCTATAGGCACCCTTGAGAGAGGCATATTAATTTTCATCAAGCTTTATTATATACATTAAATAAAATAATATGTTACATGAGTTCTTAGTATTTATTAAAATTATCTATACCAAAAAATCACAAAGTAAATAAAAAAATAAAAAATAAAAAAATAAAAAAGCAGAGCAAAAAGGTTAATTTCTTTTTTCTTGGTGGCATCAGGGCATCTTCTTATTCTTCCATGAGATTAACATTACGTATGAGTATTTAGCTCCAGATGACTACATAATTTCATAATTAATTAAAAAGTTAATCACCCCTCTTATTATTTATTATTGTTTGTTTTGAGATATATTATTTCATTATTGTTGGTCCGCTTATTTAACATATATTTTTAACTTGTATTATATTTTTCGTGGGGGTCTTCTTTTTCTTTACCTTCTCTTCTTACACCACAGGACCACACCAGCTTTTTTTCTTCGATTTGTTGATCTGCTTCTTCAGATATGTTGGTCTCGATCTTCCCCTTAAATGGCCACTTGGAATCCTAGAGAGAGAGAGAGAGAGGGAGAGGGAGAGAGAGAGGTAGAAAGTGGGTGAATTTTGAAATTTTGATTGGAATTGTGAGATGGGATTGTGTGTGTGGACTGTGGGGAAGAAGGTAGGTGATGACTGATAAGTGATTGTTGAAAAAGTTTTGAACTTTTTGTTGGGGGGCTTTTGATTTTTTGCTTGGAGTTTTGATATGGGTGGGTGCTTTCCTTGTTTTGGGTCATCCAAAAACAAAGAGGGCAGTGGTGGTGGTGGTGGTGTCAAGGAAGTGACCAAGAAGGACTCATCAGTTAAAGAAGGCTCAGCTGCTCAGTCTCACCGTGTTACAAGAGTTAGCTCTGGTGAAATTTTCTCTCCAATTTTTTATTTTTTCTGGGTTTCTTTGGTTTTTGATTGGTGGATTGTGGTTGTGCTGAATTTTGTGATTTTTTTTTTTTTGGGTTTTATGGTGTTTTGTAATCATGGGTTGCTGGTAGAATTTGTAATTGGGTTGATCTGATGCATCTGTGGTTGTTGTTGGATGGTTTTGGTTGGTTTGGTAATTGGGGTTTTTATGGTTTCTCTGTTGGAGTAATTCCTTGTTTGTTGATTTTCTCGTATGTGTTGTTTGAATTTGAACTTGATGGAGATCTACGATTAGTTCCTGAAGTTTCGAGCATTTTTCTTTCGGTTTATAGCGTTTTGTGTTCATTCTTTAACCTTCAAATGTGAGTGAGAGAGAGATTCTGATAAGTTAAAGTAACAAAAATTTAGATTTCATGTTTTAAGCTTTAAGTTGACATGTTCATGGAATAACTGTTATGACATTTTATGTGTGCAACAGCATGGAGTAATTGTCATTGTTAGTAATTTGATTCTGAGGTGTTTGCTTCTGCATTTGCATTGAAGTAACATATAGGCCGGTTCAACCATTATCCTTCCTCGTTTTTCTTTCTTTCTTCCCATATTTATGAATGACCGTTAGGCTACTAAATAGTTTCTATAACTTCAGGAAGATGTTATCTTGGCTCTGTGTATCGTAGTTTCATTGTTAACCAAAGGCCTTTCTAACTTCTTTGCTCCTTTTGCAGACAAAAAGTCTCGGAATGGTTCTGATCCCAAGAAGGAACCACCTATTCCAAAAGATGGCTCGACAGCACACATTGCTGCACAGACATTTACCTTCCGAGAGCTCGCAGCTGCAACGAAGAATTTTAGGCCAGAATGTTTGTTGGGTGAAGGTGGTTTTGGACATGTCTACAAAGGTCGCTTGGAGAGCACAGGACAGGTAGGTTGATTGGTTTGGAATTAAATGAAGAAACATCATCAAAGCATGTTTTAAGTGTTTTTCTGAGTCATTTATACAATCTGTATAATTTAGGAACTTATTAAGCATTTTAGCACATTTTCCATTTTCCAAAGATGATGTGCAGAGTTTATTTGTAACATCAATTGCTGATTTTATATCTAGTCCATGATGTGCAGAGTTTATTTGTAACATCAATTGCTGATTTTATATCTAGTCCATGATAGATGTCCCCTATGGAATTATTTGTTGCCAGGTAGTTGCCGTGAAACAACTTGACCGGAATGGCCTTCAAGGAAATCGAGAGTTTTTGGTGGAGGTTCTTATGCTCAGCCTTCTGCATCACCCAAACCTTGTCAACTTGATAGGCTATTGCGCTGATGGGGATCAACGCCTCCTTGTTTATGAGTTTATGCCTTTGGGATCCTTGGAGGATCATTTACACGGTCAGATTGATTTTCTCTTTTTACCATAGAAAAAGATAATGACTCTTCATTTTTTAGTGGCGATGCATCTTATATTAATTACCTATTCTTGATAACTTGTTCTGCCTGTGTTAGTCCTCGAATGTTAGTTTCCTTAAGGTGATCTTATGATCTTGCACTAGGATTTTAGGGATTCTTTTATGGCAACATTTCTCACATGAAACAAGAGTTAATCAGGGATTCAGCTATAATAGATTACCGTCACTGAAGTAGATGGGAATGCTGGTGAGTGATGATTAATTACTTAATTAGTCATTCCTGCTATTTATTTTACCATTCTGTCTTCGGGTCTGCACTCAACTGCTAGCATAATCCCTTGGTTACACTGCATGAGTTCCTTTTTTGGTCAAAGTCATAGTGTTGTGCACTTCTTTCATATTTGATTATGCTTTCCATAGTGAGTTGTGGGATTCAAATCAGAAAAGCTTTGATAAAAAAATTTATTGAAGAAGATATGGTAATGCTTTATAATTCTAAGTTCTGTAATCTAGCCATCTAGCTCCTCATTGGCTTATGACTTCTGGAATAGCTCTTTGGGTTTATTGCGTTGGCGTGGCGTTGTGTTTCTGTTGTAGTTCTAGGCTTGTTTTGAGTAGTGAAAGTTCCAAATTTCATATTTTTCATATTTGTCAGTCCATGGAATGTGTACATTTAGGATACTAGTAGGCTAAGAAAGGCGCACTGTGATGCACATGGGATATGTACAGAATCCTATACGTAAGGCTGACATGGTAGTGAATGTGGATTCAACATAGAGGAAACCTTTAATCTGATCACCACTTTGTCGTAGAAGACATAAGGGATATTTTTACTGTATATTTAGTGGCTGATGCCAGAAGCGTCTTATTTACTGAATGTATGAAACCAAAATAAGGTCAGTAAGATAAATGCATGGAAATAAAGGAATAGACAATTTGGATTATTAGGATTGTTTGCTTTTCTGATAAGTTGAGGGTTATACCTGTCAAAGTTACAGTTGAGGGTAATTTTCCAAAATGGTTTTCCCATTGTTGATTGGATTCAAGGTCAAGGTATCAAAAAAGGACCTTCAAAAAATTGTTGGAACAGAAAAAAAAAAAAAGTGTGTAAAAGGTCCTAAGTGAAGCTATGTAGCAAAAAGGTTTTCGTCAAGTTAATAGCTCCAATGATATGAACTGCTTTTCTGATGGTCAACTATGAAGACCCGGGTTCAAGTTTACCAAGGATCCCTAGGAAACCTTTCACGGTACAAACAAGTGAACGACTAAATACTTCTATGTTAAAGAAAGAATATGTTAATTGACGGTTATTGGCCTTTTCTGCAAACTGAGTACTTTTCTAACATCTAACATTCGAAGAGAGTATATGATTCAACGATGCATGGAAGAATGTGCATACATATGCCGCTATTCCTACATTTCACATGTACAAATCACTTCATTGACACATGTGTCAGGTCATTATTATTTGATTCTACTACAAGTCAACCATTCATTACCTGTCTCTTGTACAACCGCTAGGGTTCTAGAAATAGAGGGAAGTTTTTGTGTTTGATGCCATACCCTGAATATCTGGAGATCTAAGTACTACTTAATTAAGTGCACCGAGAAGCAAATATTGTGCTCAGTCATATCACCAAAACCCTAAACCCTAATTTTGCAGTATCATTATCCCTTTTTTTCTTCAACAATTTCTTCTCCCTTCAAATCTCTTTATTACTTACAAATCTGAAGTTTGTTTTCTGTGCGTAAAATTTCTTTAAATCATCCAGATTGCTTCTCTTTTACTTGTTCAGATCTTCCATCAGACAAGGAGCCCCTGGACTGGAATACAAGAATGAAGATTGCAGCTGGTGCAGCTAAGGGTTTGGAATACTTGCATGATAGAGCAAACCCTCCCGTCATATACAGAGACTTGAAGTCGTCAAACATCCTTCTTGACGAGGGCTTTCACCCAAAGTTATCTGATTTTGGGCTTGCAAAACTAGGTCCCGTTGGTGACAAGACGCACGTGTCCACCCGTGTGATGGGAACATATGGCTACTGTGCTCCAGAATATGCTATGACTGGCCAACTCACTCTGAAGTCTGATGTCTACAGTTTTGGAGTCGTCTTCCTTGAACTTATTACAGGGAGAAAAGCCATTGATAATACCCGAGGTCCTGGAGAGCATAATCTTGTTGCATGGGTAAGTATGCATTTGTCATTATTAGAATTTTAGTTGGCAATATTTCTTTAGTATGACTCCACGAATTCACTTGAAGCGCTTTCCTTTTGTTTTCGCCTTTTCATTTTGTGGATCTTCGGTTTACAGGCACGGCCACTTTTCAAGGATCGTAGGAAGTTCCCGAAAATGGCCGATCCACTATTGCAAGGCCGTTACCCAATGCGAGGGCTTTACCAAGCTCTTGCTGTTGCAGCCATGTGTTTGCAGGAACAAGCGGCTACAAGGCCTCTAATAGGGGATGTTGTGACTGCTCTCACGTACTTAGCCTCCCAAACATATGATCCAAATGCAGCCACTACTCCTAGCAACAGAGGTGGTTCATCTACTCCTAGGCACAGGGATGAACGAAGGAACATGGGAGATGGGCTAGATAGCCCAGATGAGTATGTACGTGGTGGGCGACATGGTTCTCCGGCTACGCATAAAAACTCACCTGATTTCAGAAGAAGAGACCCCAATAGGGACTTGAATACCGGCGTAGAATTAGGGAGGATTGAAACTGGCACTGGGTCTGGGAGAAGATGGGGTTTAGATGGGTTGGAACGACAAGAGTCTCAGAGAGACAGCCCACAAAGTGCTGGGAGAGCACGGGAAACTCCAAGAAACCGTGATCTAGATAGAGAACGTGCAGTTGCTGAGGCAAAGGTTTGGGGCGAAAATTGGAGAGAAAAGAAGCGAGCAAATGCGATGGGTAGCTTTGACGGAACAAATGAGTGAATGCAGCAACAAGGCAAGTAAAATTTTCTTCCGAGGAAAAATGTGTTGAAAGTTACTGGGGGAACATTGCGATGAAAGAGAAATTGCGAGAGCTACATTCATCCTTTACATATTGGTGTCCATGCTCACTGAGGGAATACGTGCTGTGTCATCCTCCGGCTTTGGCTATTGTTTGCTTGTGATATCATTCTTGTAGTTGAGTATGGAAACTGAATGCTCGGGTATTGCGATAAAGGAAGAAACACGGTAAGAGAAAGGGATTGGAGGAAGGGGGGTAGTTTAATGATTTTCGGGTAGCGCCCGACAACAGAATGGTTGTATGCAACATTTTGGTCTTTGTATTAATTTTCCGATGCTCGTATTACAGGACAGGAGGGAAATTTGTCGGAATGATGTGTAATTTTTGCCCCTTATGATGTGTAGCCTGTAGATTTTGGGGAATTAGTGAGTTTGGTTTTGATGATGCTGTTACATGTTTGTACTCTCATACAATCTCATGTATGAATGGATTTCTGAGTCATGTTTTCAGCCTATACAGAAACGTCTGATCCCATGTAAAATTCCTCCTTTTGTGAAGTTATCTTCCCTTCGTGTTTCTTCATCGTCTTCATCGTTCAATTTACAAAAATGCTACTGCAGAATATTGGTTTTCATGCTCTGCTTTTGGTGAAGTTATCGCAACCTCTATGGTTACTACTTGACAACATTCTAATTAGACCACCAAACCCTTGCTAGAAAACCATCGACGAGAGAGGTCCTCAAGGTCAGCAGCCAACTTGACTAAACTCATGTCTGCTAGTATTATCAAACAATTGAGGTTTTGTCCCCTTAAAAGCCTACGCCATTAAAAACTAGGGTAAAGATAAGTTGCATAATAATATTGTAAACTACGGCAAAAACTCAAACTTGAGTGCAAGACAGCAATCACACGATAATAGTAATAAATCAAATTTCCGGCCCTCTGGAAAAGAAATATTTACTGCAAGTGCAAACGGAAAGGAATTAACCAAAGATACATCTCATTGAATGACATCCATGGCGTTCAAAACATTGTGTAAATCAGAACTAGTCTACTTGTTTATACATCTTTATAATTCAGCCAACCCTTCCGTAACAATATCACGGGCGCTACCAAGACACAGGTTATGTTGAAGCCTGCCCGTGATCCCAAAAACATCGGGTGAAAATGAAACTAAAACAGCCTAAACTCAATGCTCCATGCTTTTCGATGTCGAATTATCTGGATGTCCCAGCACCCAAGAACATCCAGGATCTTAATGTATGATCATTTCCTCCTTTTTCCCTGCAAAAATTAGTAATTTCAATTATTTAAGCCATCAGCCAACATTTAAAAGGAGATTACACATCAACAAATTCTGCAACTCGACAAAAGAAACATACCGAGCTGACATAATCATCCATGGTTAATTGCTTCCTCTTCTTTCCAGTATTTGGGCTCTCAGTTGGCTGTCTACCCAAGGCCCGCTTTGATGGTGTCATGCTCTGAAACAAAACACGATACATGATAACGCATTCGCTAATTTGGGACATTTGCTTTAGAACAAGCTTGGCACTAGACCAGGAACGAAAAACAAAAAATAAAGCACAGAACAAATGTGTGCATTTGGTGCCTTCAAACCTTAGCAAGCTTCTTCTCTTTGCGGGCCTGTCTCTCCCTCTCATCGTATTCTTGGTTCTCTTTCTCCACCAATCTAATTAATGTATCACACCTCCTAGCAAGTTCCTGAGTTGTGCGAGACTTCACAAACCAATCAAAACGAAACAAGGGTGATGTGCGGAATTCTGCCTTCAATTCGTCCCAATTCCCATACCCAAGTTTGTGAACCATGCATATCTGTAGTATAATAGACACGAAAAACCACTAGAGATGAAACATCAAAAATCAGAAGTTTGCATAGAACAGAAGCTATAGAGTCTCAAACTGTACCATGAAACGATCGCATTCTTCATTGTACAACTTCCCCTTGTTTTGACCATACTGGATTTTCAATTCCAGCCATGGATTCTTGTAACGATCCAACTTCTTCCCAATGGCTTTCATGATCTCATCTTTGCGGGAAATTCTGGCCTCACCTCTTTCAATGTTCTTAATGATCCTGTCATAATCTGAAAGCACCAATAGAGTCAACAATTTGGAATCTAAGGTTCCAAAATCATAACAGCTCACTAAACAAAACCAAAGGACATTGTATGTATAATGTACGTATATAAACATAAGCGTCCCAAGTCAGCTCAATTACAAAGTATGGTTTTTTTTCTGATTTGCCAGTCAAATGATATGAAATTCATACCTGGACGACCGGGAATAAAATCATGTTTTTTGGTAAATTATTTAGATTTAAAACCAATTCATGTTGCATGTAGATAGTGTGTTTTAAGGATACCAATTCCAAATCCTGCCTTTCAACATTTCCAAATAGAGCCTTAGACCTTAACCAACGACATTGTCTACCTAACCCTACAACACACAACTGTTGGATACCACTTACCATTTAACTCCTTGTATCTTTCTTTAAAACCTTTGCGTATCTTTCAACTTCCTCCTCTGTTTTCCCTTCCATCTCAGCAGCAATGCTTTTTATGTCATTACGGCCATACTTCTCACAGCCCCTAATGAAGGTATTAAAATCTCTTCTACTCCAAGTAGAGAAACCCTGAAATTGACCAATTAAAAAGCTCAATAAATAAAACCTATACGAGAACCTCATTTGCAGCATACATTATACTTGCCTCTTCTAACAGGCTTTCCTTTTCTTCCACCTCCTCAGCAGTCAAAGGATCTCCAACTTCTAAACATTTGTACATGCAGTTAGCAGATGGAATAGCAGAAAACACAAAAGCACATGGACTCGATTCTTATGAAAAACAATAAATACCTTCTGGTTCCTCCACCTCTATTGTATCTTTCAACTGATTCTTCTGATGAGTTTGCTGTGAATTTTTCAATAGAATTAAGATAGATAAATAGGGTGCAAAGGCATACATCTCAAGCCATAAAAAATAAGAGTTCACTTATACATACCATGAGGAACCGTACTTCCTTCTCATACAGCTCATTCAACCTCTGTGTGTTGAAAAATTGGAAATCATGTCTGGAGACAAAAAGGCAGAATAGACCATAAATATTATTGAGCATTTTAAAAGGTCAAAGAACACAACACAGATGAGAATCAGTCAACAGCTAGGATAAGGAGGCACTTACAATTGAGGCATGCGTGGAATTCGAGGCTCTTCGGTTTTGCTGGAGCACCTTGGCGCATTGTTTGCTTAAAGTATTCGGACTCTGAGTAACTAATAACGAAAGCACAAAAATTCAGATTTAGAAACTAGGAGCAAGTAAATGCAAAGTAAAGAGGCAGACAGGTAAATTCCATACTTGCGCTTCCGCTCTCTTTTTGGTGGTTCAATCCAGTTATCGCTAACAATTTTCTTGAAATCAAGCTTGTCATCCTTCATCAGGTAAAAAGATACACATAAAATGAGTTATAAATCACAAAGATGAAGGTAAGCCAAATGAAATATACCATATCAATAAAAACTTGATAGAAAAAGAAAATTAAAAGAATAATGCCAACCTTTTCATCATCAAAGTCATACAATTCAGCAGCTGCAGAAACAGCACCAACATTAGAAAATTGCAATTTCCATTTTAACATCGATTGCAATAACAAAAATATAATCAAATGGATAAAGGACAATAACAATAAGTTGACAAACATACTATCATCCATCTTAAATTTGATAGCATCTTCAGTAAATTTCTTCATCTTTGCATCAAGCTCAGCAGTTGTCTCTTCTCCTTTAGCAATAATCCTATCTATGTCCTCATCTGTAATGGTGCTATCCTTGGAACTGAAGACCATTTCAGCACCAAACCTCACCATTTGAAGTAACTCATCTTTATTAACAGCTGCATACAATAACAAAATTAAAGGGAATAAATTTGTGTATACGCTTATTTTAAAGATCTTAGAAAAAATTGTGTTGCTTACTTTTTTGCTCTGCTAAGCGCCCTTGTTGAATCACCAAAGCATCAAGAGCAAGCTTTTTATAAGCCCTCTCAATAACTTTTTCTTCAATAGTATACTGTTTCAAATGTAAACGATTCACAGTGAGGAACTACCCATATACCAAAATTACTTGGTTTGAAATGTTTCAGATCAGAACACATTCATACCTCGGTGCAGAACCGGAACACTTGAACTTCTTTCTTTTGACCAATCCTGTGAGCACGATCTTGTGCTTGCAAATCAACTTGAGGGTTCCTACAACACATCACATATTAAAGCATATCAAACAGCTGAGGCATAGACATGCAGACAGAACAACAATGACTATCAGTATAAAGAAAATGATAAAGATGCTCACCAATCACTGTCATAAAGGATGACAACATCTGCAGTGGCAAGATTAATACCAAGTCCTCCAGCTCTGGTTGATAGCAAAAATACAAATTTCTCACTTCCAGGCTTGTTGAAGGCATCAATAGAAGCATCACGATCTTCTCCACCAGTATTGCCATCAATCCGACAATACAGGTACCCCCGTAACATTAAATAATCTTCCAGGATATCTAGCAGCCTAGTCATCTGACATTTAAACCAAGGACCATATAACACAATTGAGATACATCTCTGGGCATGCATTGCAACTTGCAACGTATTTGCTTACACTCAAATGAAAGTATAATGATTTCACAGAACAGAACTAACCTGTGAAAATATTAGGACCCTAGAATCACGCTCCTTTAACTTTGGAAGCAACTTATCCAAAAGAACCATTTTACCTACAATTGAAAATTTAACAAGGATGAGTTCGATGATCAAACAAACAATATGCATCAACGAAGTCAGTGAATTTTAAAATGTCAAGCTTACCAGCATTTGTGATGAGATGGTCTCCAGTCGTATAAGGAGGCCCGGGCTCAGCACCTTGAAAAAGATAAGGATGATTACAGCACTTACGAAGCTGCATTGCTATGTTCAGAAGGCGCTTACGTTCTCCACCAGCATTAACAACTTCAAGATCTTTTTGTAATAAAGCCCTGTAGTACTGTTTCTGCATTTGTGACATGCCTACTTTGAGTATTGTTTCTTTTTTCGGAGGCAAACCTTTCTCAACATCTGACTTCAACCTTCTAAGAAGAAATGGCCGGAGGACCTTAAAGAAGAATAAATCAAAGTGAGATATTGCAATCATAAAGCAGGGAGGACCAAATACTGTACTCAACAGTTGAGATGCCGTTAAGCCTACCTTGTGAAGCTGTTGAACAACCTCTTGCTGGTCGTTCTCACCAGATATTTGAAACCATTCATCAAAAGTTTCAGCAGAACTAAATATCTCTGGCAGGAGAAAGTTAAGCAGAGACCATAGTTCGTGAAGATTATTCTGCAAGTAAACCGCGGAAAAAAAAAATCAAGCATGCTTAAAAGGAATATTCTTGCTACTTTAAAATTAAATTTAACATAGGTTACCCTCCAAAAATTACATCCAGGCAGAAAAGATTGTAAACTTTCAAGTGTCATGCTAGATAAGCATAAATAAAACATCATCAAACAAAATTAATCCAGCATGT